ACTTGATTCTTGTATTCTCTCTAATCATGCTTTAAGAATTGTAGTTAAGATTTTCTTATTCATTTTTTTGATATTGAAAGTAGAATGGATGAAATTAGTTGGATCTTCCTCATTCAATTTGTATATTACTAATAATTGTTAATTGATTTGGTCTTTGATATGCCTATTTTATTTATTTCAGGGGTTGATGGTGTATGCTCTGGTCTTTGTTCCTGTTTAAATATGGAGGCTGGCTTTTATTTTGACGCCAAGAACAACATTGAAGTTTTTTACTCATATCTTTGAATTTTTTTGGGTTGTAATTGCTATGATACGTATGAATGTATGAAGGATACTCTGTTTCAATAATATGTGTTTGATTTCTTGTTTGGTAAGCTGAAAATATTCTAATGTTCCACCATATGATCAATGGGTAACCTTAATTAAGCTATAATTAAGCTATGAATGAAAGATGCAATAGAAGTCAATTAATAAATGTTGCGATTTAAAACAAGTTAATGACAGGTGCAATAGCAGACAATTTTAAAATAATACTCCATCCGGTTTTTAATAAACTTCACACTTTCCTTTTTGGGACGGTCTAAAATAAACTTCACACTTCCTTATTTCCTTTTTTGGCAAAGAAATCTACATCAAAACAGTGTCAAACAGTGCCAAACAGTGTCTCAACAGTGCCAAACAGTGTCTCTACAGTGCCAAACAGTGTCAAATAGTGCCTCAACAGTGGACTCTACAGTAAAGTCAATTTTCTTTCCTTATTTTGTGTGAAGTCAAAGTGTGAAGATTAAATAAAACCGGAGGGAGTAATAAAAACATGACAATGGTAGTGCAAAATGTGCTCCAGGTGTTGCAATGTAAGAGTACAGCATTTGCATTTAAATGTGTTGCCTTATTCATTGTGGGAAATAATGTTGCCTTAACTAAAGTTGTTGCAACACTTCTTTATTTGTTGCCATAGAGACCTACGGCAACGGCCAAAATTTCAACACTTTTAAAAATTGAAATGTGTTGCCATAGATCCTAGAGGCAACATATTAGGGGTGTAATACAACACTTTTGAAGTGTTGCCTTAAGCCATTTATAGTGTAGTGTTTGCTTCGCCGCTTATTACACTGTTAGGTTAATAATGCGGATGAAGTAAACAAGTTGAACAGGTAATACTGATGCTTGTTAAGGAGATCAACGGTTTATACGGTTGCTTAATAAACTTCCGCACATCCATGTTTTGTATAGCCGGTGTTTTAAGCACTTTCATAATGGCCATCTTGCCCTTACTTTACATCACACATAAAAAGTTATTTACATTCCTATCCAATTACGTATAACCTAACTAGGTCTTTAGCTCCTCCATAATTGCCGCGCCTCATCGTTCTTCTTCCTCTAGCGAACGCTACACCATCACAGGTATGACTATCTTTTGTATTTGTTATGCACTTTTAGTACAATTTTTAAATCTTCTTCTTCGGTTAGTTATTATTATTTTTTATTTTTCAATTTATACAGTATTTCTTCACATCTCTGGATTAGGTTTCCTTCCCTGAAAAATACTTCATTTGTAAAACTTGGAATTGCACAGAATTTGAGCCTTGAATTCTCTTTCTTTCCTCACACTTCTGCTTGCTTTCTTTCATAACAGGCCGTGATACCAGACTAGCATATAACTCGGGTTTGAAATCCTGGGTTCCACTTTGAGTTTGTCGTCTATAGTTGGTCTTTTCTATAAATATCGATTAGGTCTTTAAGTAGCTTTTGGGGACCAAAGATCAAGGGTTAAAGACTACCCAATATTTGTAATTGAAAACTCAGGGTTGTTTATACTTTGCTTGTACACAAGAAGTAAGTCAGTGTCTGCTATCACTTTACTAGGATAAACCACTTTATATATCTTTTTTATGCTTCTTAGACTTGAATATATAATTATTTTATCCGAAGTGTCCTTTTCAATGTAGTAGCGGTTTAAACCTTCAACCCCACTTAGATGTCTTTTTATCCCCAATAAAAAGAAAGTTAACTTGAGAAGATGGTTGGTTGTGTGGTTGAGAACAATGCCTCTTGTTATTCGACTCTTTTTGAAAAATATTAGGGACAAAAATGAAAACTTCATAAAATAGATTGGCTGGGTGTCAGGCAGAACATGCCATGATTTTTCATGTATTATTTCAGTTTGTCTAATTTTTATTTTTTTCTTGTTCTTTTGTTTTAGATGGCAACTAAAAAACTACTAGAAGGAAATGGGCGATGCAGGAAGACCAGACTCTTGTGGCATGTATGATTGAATTGCATAGTCGTGGTACCCATAACGGGAAAAGGGGGGCTTTGAAGCCGGAGATTTAAGTGAGCTAGCAAAGATGATGTCAGATAAGTTGCCTCATTCTCATATAGAAGCTAAACCACACATTGATTCTCACATAAGAACGCTAAAACAAGTTTGGCAAGAGTATTATGATTTGTTGAACGGTCGTAGTGCATCTTTAAGTGGATTTGGATGGGATTCTGTCACAAAAATGGTAACGGCCCCTAGTGATGTATGGGACTCGATCTCTTGTGAAGGTAAGATTTTCATTTAAGATTTATTGTTTTTTCTCATAACTTTCATATGATGGGATCATAAACTTTTAAGATGTAAAATGCTTCTGATCATATGAGCTAGTCCCTATTTCAATCTATTGAGATCTCCAAATTGAATAGGGTACGTGAGGGTGAAAAGGGTGAAGCTAGTATGATTTTTATTCTTAATTGGATTGGGGAAAGGTGATGGGAGGTCCCAGCATCATCTCGGCCTGGCCTGGTGGCGCCCCTTCTGACCGTCCCCGGGAGTAATGGGAGTAGTCAACTGAGGAATAGTTAAGCAAAACTATTTGATTGATGAAAAAATTCCATGTATATTACTTGTTAAAAACTACGGAGTAGTTGACAAAAATATTACTAAACATATTTAATTATTTAAATTAATCATTTAGTAGTTATTTAAATTTAACTAAGTTACTGTATAGTTATCCTCTAGAATTCAGATATTCGTATACGTACTTCTCCAGTCCCCAAATATTCAGTTTTACATATGATCTCTATGATTCTCTCCAATGCATGAATCTCTCTTCGAGGATTTTAGGGTTCAGTTTCTGTAGTTTTGTAATTGCCTGGGGCAGAATTGACTTTTGATATGTTGTGTTATCTCCAGTTATGGTTTAGGATGATCAGTCACTTTTTTTCAACATGTCTACTACTAGTAATATTCATGTAAAAAAACTCTTGATTGATTGATATGCGTATATTGAAATGTTTTACTTTGTTTTCCTCCACTCCCCCCTCTATCGTTTTTTTTAATCTTAGTTGTCTATAAATAGAAAAGTAATGATATATGAAGTACTGAGCTATATAAAGTTTTCATATCTTTCAGGCCAAACCTAAAGCTGCCAATATAAGAAGAAAAAATTTATGGTATTATGAGAACTTCTGCACCATATACTGTATAGATCGAGCTACTGAGCTTAATGGGATGGAGTGCGAAGATATGCTTGGAGATACGGGATTTGATTCGAGTGTTCAAACAGCCACAGAAGAGATAGATGATTTCACAATTTCTGGTGTCGACAAACGAAACTCATCAAAGAGAAAAGGAATGTCTGATAATAACACACCACAAGCAACTCATTGTAAGAAGAAGCTTAAGCCTGGACCAAACATTTATATATTTCCAGCTTGTATGGAGGCGGCATCTATCTGACTAGAAAAAGCAGGTCTGAAGATGTCAAGAGTAGAGACAGACATAGCAGATAAAACATCGCATCTCCCAACTGCACTAGATCAGCTCGAAGGTATGACTAGAAGGATGAAATATAAGTTGATGGAAAAAATGGGGAAAAATCAGAGCGAGTTGTTGTTCTATTATGGGCTACCTGATGCAGAGAAGATGGATTGGTGCCAGTGGTATTTGACGACAAATGAAATGTGATTTGTCATGTGTTTTTGTTTGTGGCAGATTGTACTAAGCACTTCAGTACTTTTGGACTTGGGTCTTACCAATATGTTTTGCTGAACAAGTTTTTGTTTATAAGCTTAAGAATCATTTGTCATGTATATTTTTTGTGGGAAGCACTTGATATTGTACTAATCACACTTCGGTACTTTTGGACCTTGGTTCTTACCAATATGTTTTGCTGAACAAGTTTTTGTTTATAAGTTTAAGAATCATTTCTTCATGTTGATGTGTCTCCCTCAGTACATTATTATTACTATTATTGTTGTTGTTGTTGTGAGAGATGCGCTTATTCAGATTGTGCTAAAGCACAATCTCAAAGAGCAAGAAAGAGAGCAGAATTTTTGCCAAGTATTCCTTAAGTTGCAACTTTGAGATATGAGCAGAGTACTGAAAGTGGGGCTGGAATTTATTCTTCAAACATTGTTTATGGACCTGAGTTTCTATCAGTTGGCGAGTATGGAGACAATAGCCATGATTTGTTATCAGCATGACAACATATTCTCCAAAATGTTATAACAGATCTGTTAATCTCCATATATATATATGTGTGTGTGTGTGTGTGTATATCAGTTCTTAGATATATTTACATTGCTCTTTTATGCAAACTGGATTCTTAAAAATGAGTATAAAATTGGAATACCATTTATTTTTTTAATTGGTCATGTTTTTTTGTTTTTTGTTTCCTTTAAAGAATGATTATAACAAATAAAAATCTAGGCACCCCTGCAGGCTCCAAGTCTGTTCTATGTGCAACCAATATAATTTTAGTATGTTTCTTTTTAGTGAAAGTTGAAAGCCGATTCTGAAATTGCATCAAGAAAATGTAGACAGTAGAATAAAATAGGCTATTTTTTTCTTCTCAGGTCTGTTATTGATAAAAATAATGACTGTTAGATCGTAACCTGCAATCGCATATGCAATTCTATAAATAAAGTGTATCTATCAACTAGAAGATAGTAACAACATATTGGAGTTTGATTCCCAAAAAATAGTAACAAGATATTACAAAATATACACGTTTGCACTTCTAAATGAACTTCAAATTGTACTTCGAATGAACTTCAAGTTTTATGCTTGACTTCAATTTATCCAAGAAGTATACATTTCAGTTGCTAAATCTTCTCTAAATGTAGTCCATGCTTCACTAGGTTGTAAGTCAGCTCCAACAAATGAATCATCCTCATCATCTGGATCCTCTGAATCCTCGTCTGATAGATCCTCATCACATGCCACTATTATTCGACATGTCATAGGCATAAAATAACACGACCCGCTTCGTAAGATTGCCCATCGATTCTTAAGTAATCCATATGCACGCTCAATCACATTCCTAGCTTGTGAATGCTTCATGTTAAAAAACGCTTTCGCATTATGAGGAAGATGATTGTTTTGCCATTCAGATAAGTGATATCTTTGTCCTCGATAGGGTGCAAGAAACCCTTCACAGTTTACATAACCTCCATCAACCAAATGATAGCATCCTATAAATTTATATAGATATACAAACCACACAAAAACATATAAATATATATGAATCAGATAAATACTCTTACATACATGCAAAGCACACCTTCGGGAACTCGAAATCTTCTAGTGAGGGCATCTCTTAAGACTCTACCATCTGCAGCTGACCCCTCCCATCCAGGAAAAACGTAGATAAATTGCATTTGTGGGTTACAAACACTAAGGACACTTGTGGCAGTGTCTCCTTTTATGGAACGGAAACGATTGTGATCCTTTTGGGCCACATGAACTTTAACATAAGTCCCGTCTAGTGCACCAACACAGTTCTGCAACGCTATAGCTAAATATTAAAAATTCAATAAAAAACTACGTTTTAATAAGAAAATTAAATGATATACACACCTCAAATATGTTCCATCTATAATCAGTGCATTCATCTATGATTGGATCAGGTTTTGCATACAAAATAGAATGAAGTTTTAGCACTGCATGTATGACATTTGCAAAACAGTTGCTAATTGTTCTCCCTGATCTTTGAAACTCAGTTATTAAGGTTCTGTTTTTCTGGTGATGAGATAGTACGAGTAGGCAAATAGCTACTTGTTCTTCAACGATCATGTGTCTAGTTGGCTTCAATCCACCTTTCATAACTAACATATCACATAATTTAAAGAATATTGCACGATACATTCTTAACTCAGAAATGCAACTTGCTTCATTCCCATACACCAACCTCTTAAAGTACCTTTCCCTTTTGGAGTGATTATCTATCACATAAGTAATAGAATGTGTTCTTCTACGTCTATATGATACCAACACAACACACATCCAAAGTACAGAGTTGAAAAACTAGGATTGCACATTACACCACCAATGTAATGACTTCTTCCATATGACCCTCATTATGTAAATATAAAAAAATACAGTTCATACCAATCTGTTAAAGGTTGTAGCAAATAAATGAATAAATATTATATAAGTATGTAAAATAAGTGGTTAATTTGACTAGTGTTCCAATGATTCATACTACGTATATCTTATTCATGTATACATAGTCTTTCTACTAAATATTGTTGGAGTTTGAATCTAGATATTGATGTTTGGTGGCTCGAAAAGTTCTTGCTTGGTTGCTACTTTTTAATTTGATGATTACGTAAGACAATCATATACATATATGAAAATAATAAACATAAAGTATCAACCATAATAGACTAATAGTAAAAGTCTAAAACTAAAAAAATGCACCTTTGCAAGGGTTGATCAGGCAAAAAGTTCCTATTCAAGCTACTTTCAGTTTGCACGTTTAATTGCAGCAAGTGAATTTAGAACATCTGTTGGTATTGGCCCCCAATTCCCTTTAGCCCAATTCATTTCATTTGGAGTACTCGGCCCATTCCTTTGATTTCTCCATCGGCTTCCCTTTGCGATGAATACTTCCGGCTTCTGTGTTCGGTACATCGGCTCTTCCCCTTTCCTTATGCAAGCATCTGCGTATCTCTCTAATATGGTAAGCTTTACCATCTTTGTTATTGTGCTTGACCTATTTAATCTCTCCTCTCTGCCGATTGAGTTTTTTTTTTGTGGGAAACCCCCTTCTTCTCCCAATTTTCGCCCATTGACTGGGTTGGCCGGAAACAGACTGATTTGGCCGGAATTGGTTGATGGTTGTTGCCCATCTTTTCCCCTTGAGATCCTAGTGGTATTTAGCATCCTTTGTGGGTGATAAATTGAGACCTGAGCTGGAAGTGAACCCATCTAACAGTGGTATCAGAGCCGGGAGAGGTCTGCCGCCGCCACGCCGCCGCCACGCCGCCGCCTGCCGCCGCCGTACGCCGTCGCCGGAGGTCCAGGGAGGTCTGCCAGAAGCCTCCAGCCGTCCAGAAGCTTCAGGGAGAGTGCTGCCCAGTCTGCCGGCGTCCAGGGAAGCCTGCTGCCACCGGTCCAGCTTCTGCCGCCGCCCAGGGAGCGCCGCTGCCGCCTTCCAGCTTCTGCCACCGAGCCCTACAGCAGCCCACGCTGCCTACGGTAAGTCGGGTAACCCAACCTCGGGCCCCGCTCAGGTAAATTGGCGATAAACATCCTTGGTGTACCGGAGTGCCACCGGATTTATTTTTTCCCCGCTCCCCGCTGCCCGCTGCTGACCTACGTGGTCTTGGATGCCGGCTGTGTCCGGCCCCTGGTACGTTTACTAATCCTTTTGTGTGATTTTTATTCGTAGTTCATTCATTTTTAATTCCAAGTTGAATTGCTCTTTGCTTGTTAGTTGAATTGTGATTGCTTGTTTGTTGGTCCGTGGATTAATTTTCCGGTGAAGAATATTTTGTTTGGATACTCGTTGTCCAAAGTTGTGAATATTTCTTCCGGTTTAAATTTAATCACGTGTTGGATTTTTTATTTTGATTTTTTCTGTTAATTGATTCGTGGATAAACTCTCCGGTTAAGAATATTTGTTTGGATACTTGTTGTCCGAAGTTGGGAATATTTCTGTCCGGATTAGTTTTAAATCCCGTTTCTTTGCTTGTTGATTTAATTCTAGCCTATTTGTGCTTGTACGAAAGAACAAGGAGATTGTACCCCGAGCTTTGTGTTCATTGGTCTTCTCGGCTTGTTCGTGCTAGTTGCTTCGTACAATTGATAGCCCTATAGGTTAAAATTAATCATTTATCTGTCTGTTGAGTAAATAAAAATTTTATCTTGCTTGTACGAAAGAACAAGGAGATTGTACTCGAGCCTTGCGTTCATTGGTTTTCTCGGCTTGTTCGTGCTAGTTGCTTCGTACGGTACGAAAGAACAAGGAGATTGTACCCGAGCTTTGTGTTCATTGGTCGTCTCGGCTTGTTCGTGCTAGTTGCTTCGTACTGTTCTTTGCTTGATAATTTTTTATTTACTCTCTTGCGTGTTGTGCTTGCTTTCCGGTTAATATGGCTGTCAATCAATATGGCATGCTTCCATTTAACGGAAAGACAGATTTTGATATCTGGAAACAGAAAATCAAATGCGTGTTGATCCAACAGAAAGTCTATAGAGCAGTGACTGGTCTCTATTTAGACTCTGAGGATGCTGCTAAGCGCGATGAAATGAATGAAACTGCTTGTTCCTCTATATACCTGAACCTTTCTGATTCAGTACTCAGGAAGGTGGGTATTATAGATTCTGCAAAGGCTTTGTGGGACAAGTTAGATAAGACGTATACTGATACTTCTTTGCCTGGTAAATTGTTTTTGCTTGAGAAGTTCTTTAGATTTAGGCTTGACCTGTCTAAGGACATAGATGAGAACCTAGATGTGTTTAACAAGCTTATTCAGAATATTAAGCAAGCCGGTGATAAACACATAGATGACTACACACCCATAGTGTTACTTAATGCCATCCCTGACTCATACAATGACGTCAAATCTGCCATAAAGTATGGTAGAGATGATATCTCGTTGGATGTAGTCATTAATGGATTAAGGAGTAAGGAGTTAGACCTTAGACACTCGAGGGGTAGTAACAGTCAGTCTAGGGACTCAGGTGAAGCGTTGTTTGTGAGGGGTAGGTCTAAGAGTAGATCTAGAAACCATAAGAAGGGCAACAACGATAAGAACAAAAACAATGACCCGGGGAAGAAGAGAGGTAAGTCTAAGAAGAGAGTGTGCTATAATTGTGGTAATTCTAGTCACTTCATTAAGGATTGTCCCCATCCGAAGAAGTCTGAACATGCTAATGTGGTAGATGATAATAACTTGCATGAAGAAGTTTTTATGATTTGTGATTCTGCCAATTCTGTGTTGAGTAGCATGACTGAAAATGAGTGGTTGATTGACTCTGGTTGTACTTATCATATGACACCTTTTAGATCCCTGTTTTCTTCTTATTATTCTTGCAATGATGGTTTTGTGTCTCTTGCTGATAATAAGAAATGCAAAATTCATGGGGTGGGTGATGTATGCTTGAAGTTTGACAATGGGACTGTGTTTACTATGAAAAATGTGAGGCATGTTCCTGATTTACGTCATAACTTGTTTTCTGTTGCTGCTTTTGAGGGTAGTGGGTTAGAGGGTAAATGGGGTAATGGGTGCATGAAAGTTTTGAAAAATTCCCTTGTTTTGTTTAAGGCAAAAAAGGTGAATAACTTGTATGTGTGCCATGCTCAGCCTTTCTGTGATTCTGCTCATGTTGTTAGTCCTGATAAATCTGCATTGTGGCATAATAGATTAGGGCACATGAGTAATAGGGGTTTAGAGATTTTGCATAAATCTGGTTGTTTTGGTAAGGATTCTGTGTCCCCCATCCCCTTCTGTGAATCTTGTGTGTTAGGCAAGCAGCATAAGGTTACATTCCCCTCCTCCCCATATCCTAATCCTACTAAGTGTACCTCTGTGTTAGAGTATGTTCATGCTGATGTGTGGGGTCCTGCTAGTGTCTCTACCCACGGGGGTAAGAGATATTTTCTGTCCATCATTGATGATTTTTCTAGGAAGGTGTGGGTCCGTCTCCTTGAGCATAAGTCCGATGTCTTTGTGAAGTTTAGGGAGTGGAAAAACCTTGTAGAAAATCAAACTGGTAAGAAGGTCAAAACCCTTAGGACAGATAATGGTCTAGAGTTTTGCAATAAGGATATGGACCAACTGTGTGTTGATTGTGGGATTAGAAGGCATAAAACTGTGCCCTATACTCCCCAACAAAATGGGATAGCCGAGAGGATGAATAGGACTGTTCTAGATAAGGTTAGGAGTATGCTTGCCACCGCCGGTTTGTCTAAAAAGTTTTGGGGTGAAGCAGTTAACACTGCTGTCTACTTGATTAACCGGTCTCCTTCTGTTCCCTTGGGTGGGAAGTGCCCTGAATCTGTTTTTTCAAACAAACCCCTTGATTTATCTAATCTTAGAGTGTTTGGGTGTGCAGCGTATGTGCACCAACAAGGTGACAAGTTGGATCCTAGGTCTAAGAAAGGAGTCTTCCTAGGTTATCCCGAGGGTGTGAAGGGGTATAGGGTTTGGGATAGGAACCAGGTAGGTTTCAATGTTGTGGTGAGTAGAAACGTTGTTTTCAATGAATCCGAGTTCCCTTGTCTGGTTAAGTCAGTTCCTGATTCTGAGTCTGATCCTAGTAGTACACCCGTTGAGGTGGAGTCCATACCACGTGCTGCTAGCCCTTTGTTTGCTAATCATGATAATGTTGTTTTGCATGATTCTAATTCTTCTGAATTGCATGATTCTGATTCTTCTGAGCATGATACTACCACTACTTCGAGTGAGGTGGAGCAATCTCATGTGCATTCAAATGACAATGAATCGCATGATGAGAGTGCGGATGCTAGTGAGAATGATTTGCATGATTATCAACTTGCTAGA